TTTGATACAATTGATCGTCTGCGAAATCATTGTATGCCAACGAGTTTTCTCAGTAATTCAGCTACCAATTCTCGTGCTGTGTTCAACGAGACGTTTACAGTTAGGGTCGAACTTAGAAAAAAACGAACTATAGTGCCGGAATTGTAAAAAAGTGTTAGAAAATTGTTTCGGCAAAACCCGTCTATTTTGGTATTATGGTAGGGTAGTGTGGGGTAATTTGAACACATTTTTACGTCTTCTCCGTTGTACCAAATTCCAGTTCAACCCTGGATGAAGAAAAACTGTTTCAGTAGCGCAAGTGTCACTTGCTTTCACCATGCAAGCCTCATTTTTGGACGAGCCGAGCATACCTTGAATAGCATAGCCTCACTTCTCCACCAAGTCACGGTGTGTTCAAATTGCCCCACCGTGGGGTAATTTGAACATACTGCCTTTACCTGTCATAAAAACGATTGTCTCGCCAGCACCGATGTTGTTTGACCCATAAACAAATAGGCAGAACAATTCTAAACATACCTTCACTTGAAAAATCAACACAACAACAAAAATAACAGTTGCAGAGTATCAATATCTGCACGCTGCACACCGGTCAGTTGACAGAATTCGCCCCTCTTCAATTAACAGAACGTCTATCATTTTTGTTCGATAAAAACTCTCCCAACCTTACTACATCTGTTAAAGTGGTGCCAATCGAAACCTGGACATTTGGAGTTCTGATTTTCGCCAATGTCCAATTCGGAATTGGTTGGACAAAGGTAGCAGACTGGACAACATTGAACGATGGCTTGCTACACTTCAGCGCTTTTTATAAAGTAATCGTGCATAGCATTGATTGGCGAATGGAAAGCTTGTTAAGCTCTCAATATAATGAACACTTTTCGGCTGGTAAAATTACATGATAAGCAATATAAATGACGGTTTTGAGTGTTGATAGCTGCATAATATTCGGGCATATTTGGACAAATAGTTGACTTTAACATTTTTGGACGGAAAATCAACGAAAATGCTGGACATTAGACGGATATTAGACGTAAATTTTCTAAAACTGGCATCACTTATCTGCTACTGCTTTGGTTCGAAAATATTGGCAAAAAAAAACTGGGAGCGTTGTTTTTTTCGGAGGTATCCCTGTCTTCATTGAAATTCTCACACTATGTTCAAATTACCCCACGCTAAAAGTTATTTTGCCATTTTTAAAAAACAGGGTTCAAAAGCAAATTTCTTGGATTGAAGGCACTGATTAGGTCATTATACAACAAAAGCCGTTGCGTATTAGGCGCTAGCAATGCAAGATTTTGCGCTGCAATGAAGTTGCAATGACGTGTTGTAAGGCGTTTTTCCTTGCGAAATTGATTTTTTACACTGTGCGTCAACATCTTCATTCCCTGAAACTTTAAACCCCGTTCATATGATAGCCCTTTTAGTTACGATACTTTCTCTCATTGGTCTTATTGTCATGCCACTTATGGATTTTCCGTAATTTTGTGTTATTCACACTATGTTCAAATTGCCCCACATGTTCAAATTACCCCACCCTACCCTATTTGCCCTGTAGGCCCAGCATGTTAGCGGAAGAGCTTTGAAAAGAGCTATCAAATGCAAATTGATGCGATCCTCTAGCTCTTTTCGTTCACGAATCACGCATCGACTTGCAAAAATTATAAAAATCAGGAAATTTTCGTTTTAATTTTATTTTTGATGACTTTCAGTGACCTTATTCATTATCATCCTATCCTATCTAACCGTTGAGAGTCAGCTGCTACCAGCTACCAGCGCCAGCCGTCAGAGCTGCAGGGTGCCGACGGTATTAACTATTAACCCTCGCCCGGCGAGGGGAGTTGATGCAACCCCCCTAAGATTTCTCGCAAATAACGTAAAAACAGCGGGGCGTAGCGCCGCCAAATTTGGCATACCCTCTGGGGCAACATTTTCGCACCTTTCCTGAAAATTTGATGTCCCAGTCTTTTCAGGTCAGGTCACCAGGTCACAAACACCGGTACAAGGTCAGGGGAAAAGTATATCATTCGATGCGCACGGACGTCCTGAGTTCACTGCATTTATTTTTGCTCTATCTTTACTAGGTAAAAAGTTATAAGCAAAAAACTTTTGACATGTTTTAGCAAAATTTTTGCACTCATACCCCCGAAAATTCCCCTAAATATTGACTTAGAGTCACCAAACTTCCACAGGGGCGAGATCTCCTATGGACCCACCTACCCTGTAAATTTGGCGTTTCTAAGTGCCATAGGAGCCAATCGCGAGGGGGGGTCGTACCCCCTCGCCGTCCGTGTTATGGAAAAGGCCCTCGCTTGGCGAGGGTGAACATCAGTGACCTGACTAATCGCCAAAGCACCCGTGCTTAACTTCCTATCGTCATCCCAGCTGCAGCTGGGACGAGAAACCCTGTTGGCTGTTCATGAACAGGGTTTCTCGGCCAGATACTTACCGGACCTCACCGGATCGCCAGTTATCGCACGAACAAACCCGAGTCACCGGAAGGCACTACGAGAGGCAGTCACTACCAGTACAACTGGTACCTACTACTGGTACTACTGGTACTACTGCAGACACTTTCTCGAGCTGTCCCTGGTCCAAATGGCGACAATAGAACGGTGGCAGCGCTATGCGCTCACGAGGCACGTTTCTACCGTAGGAGGGGTACACCACCTGTCCTGGCTGACGAAATGTCGTTTTGATGGCCAACGGGACAGTCCCCTGCACGGCAGGTGGACGGACGGACAGATATACGGACGGAGTTCAATGCTACTGCTCCCACCCTGACCGCAGTCACGGTCACGGAGGAAGGGGGACGGGGGAGGGGTGACCACTCCACTTCCGCCTCCAATCCTCTCATCCTCTTCCCCGGAGTGTGTTGCAAGACCTACTGCCTGGATGCAACATCCTGCGTGATTATGGGTCTGGTATAAAGAAATCCAAGACGCAGCTTCCAGTGCAATTATGGTTCTGGATGGTTCTGGTATACAGACATCCAAAATTCAACTTCTAGGGTAGTTATGAGTATGAATAACTGCCTATCTCGAATAGTCGGGCATTTTACTAATCATCGAGCTAAGTATGTTCGGGTTTCCATTTTCCAAGGTCCTCTCCCTTACAAATGTAGGCACAGCGATATCGCTGTGCTGTCCCGAGACTCGAGTGGTTTCAGAATGGTAGCAGCATGTTGCGAAACAGGAAGCTGCATCTCTATGTATACGCTCGGGTCTGTGGTCGTTCTGACTCGCGATAGCAGTTCGCACTGTAGGCCCCGTCGCGCCTCGGTGGGACTTTTGAGAAGGCTGGCTTTGTCCCGAGTTCCACCGCTGGAGCCGTGCTAACAGCCACATATAGACGCAGCACGCAGCCGTTCAATGGAAGGTCCAGGATGCAAACACCAGGGGAGGCTCTAAACGGTACGATACTTAGTTCCGTTCTTTTGCTGTCAGAGACGCGATAAAGCTGGGTGCTTTGTTGTTGACTTTTAGCTTAATGGAGCGCCAACGCTCCTTCCCGTATTCCTGGAACAGATAATTCCTTACAAATATTCACCGTTTTGTTGGATGTGGGTGAGAAGCCGTGCCTTTCGCAATGTTTTCCGCACGCTGCTATCTAACTGTTGTGAAACGCTGACGTATGGGGTTCACCAGAGTCACGGCAGTGTAGCGTCGCCGCCGGCGGGCCCCGGGGGGCGGCGCCGGCCCCTCTCGGCCGGTGGTCTTCGCACGGCGCCGTGTTTCAGCCCACTCTCACCCGCCGCGCCGACCGCACGGCTCCCAGCCGGACTTTCTGACTGAACTTTCTGACCGTTTGTCTGTCTGTATACCTACTCTGTCTGTCTGTATTACATACGGTCTGTCAGTCCGTCCACTTCTTTTCCTGTATCTCTTCTCTGTCTCTGTCTCTGTCTCTGTCTCTGTCTCTGTCTCTGTCTCTGTCTCTGTCTCTGTCTCTGTCTCTGTCTCTGTCTCTGTCTCTGTCTCTCTCTCTCTCTCTCTCTCTCTCTCTCTCTCTCTCTCTCTCTCTCTCTCTCTCTCTCTCTCTCTCTCTCTCTCTCTCTCTCTCTCCCTTCACAGATCTCGCACCTTTCCTTTAAATTGTTGGAGAAGTACTTCCTAGTTCATTTGTGTAAGAAATTTTTCAGCGCTTTCGTCATCAGCGAGCGTTTGTGACTACTGCCAGTGGGAAAACTGGACCGGAAAACCAAATGTCTCGAGCTGACTCACCATTGGCGGACAGTGACTGAGGCTCATGTGACAGTCATCCACTGTGTGTGTATAGGTATGTGTGTGTGTGTGTGGGGGGGGGGGGTAGTGTGTGTGTGTCCACTGTCCCATCCTCTAGCTGGCACCAGCCGCACGCGCTCTCGGGTACAGTCCCAGGCCATTGCGCGAGGCCCAGGATCGGTCATATCACGTGCCGCGGCATACAACACCGTCGGGTTTTTCGCTCTGACTCAGCACACACCGATTGAGCGCAGTACACTGGCCGGCGCTGGTCGGCGGCGTATGCAAGTACTGAGCTGATTTCCCCACCTGCCGCTGGTGGGTGGGTGGGGGTGGGGGTGGGGAGGAACATTCGCCGTCAGCGCGGGACACCGTGGCGGTTAGTAGTGCTGTCACCGCGGTCCGAGGCGGTGTGAGATGGTGCTGTTTTCATTGTGAGAGCCAGTGCTGCTGTCATAGGGCGACTGTGAGCCAGTGCTGCTGTCATAGGGCCACTGTGAGCCAGTGCTGCTGTCAATAGGGCCGCTGTGAGCCAGTGCTGCTGCCGCGGGGTCACTGTGAGGTGACCCTGGCGTCGTCTCGCTGAGAGCTGTGAACTGTGAGCTGCTTTTGTCACCGTGGACGTCACGCAGTGTGACGTGTGAGCTCAGTGCATCTTGCTTAGGACGATTGTGTCGAATCCCGGTTGTGTGTTCTACGTAGCAACAAAAACAATAGGCTCCCTCTAGACGTGGCCTGGAAAACCCGTGACCGTCCCTAGACGCCGAGCGAGGCGACATTTGAAGCTCTTGGCAGTCACGAGCTTCCATAACAACACTGCCCCATGACAGCCAATGACAGTGACAGTGACATCCTGTGACGGACCGTCACTCAGTGACAGTGCTGAGTGACGTCCGACCTTGCTCCGGACCGGCTGGGTCGGTCGGTCGGTCCGGGCCGCTCGGGGCCGGTCGGACGGCCGTGCCGGCGGCGGGCCGGCTGTGACGTAGTGGCCGCGCGCTACGGCCCGGCCGGGGGCCGGAAAGCGTCCCGATAGCACGGACCGCGGCGGCGGCGGCGGCGGCAGTGGCGGCAGTGGCAGTGTCGGCGAGTGGCGGCGGCGCGGCGGGCCGCTGTCAGCTGGACGCTCAGTGGAGTGACTGACGCGCAGGACCTGTGAGCGCTGGAGCTGTCAGCATGATACCGTGACAGCTCACTGAGGTGCCCCTCCAGCCGATCAGCAGCAGGAGAAACGGACGGCGATGACTGACAGGTGAGAGCGGCTGTGTTTTCGACGTGTCGCTCTGATTTCACTCGCATTAATATGCATTTCATCGCATTCGGCGCTAAAGACGCCATCGAGGATGGTGCCTAACAAATGCCTAGCGAAGAGGTGCCTAACAAATACTGGTCCATTTATTCGATGGAACATCGTGACCCCTTGAACGGTAAATGGAGATGATTACATTTTGTGAAATCGCCGTACCCATGGTCAAGTGCATCTAGGCTCCCACATGTTACCAACTAAATGCATGTTCTATGGCCGGGTTTTGCGCACTAGTAGCTCTGCCCTCTAACTAAAACAGGATCAGTGATCCTCACAGCTGCACCAGCTGCACCGGAGACACATTCCGTCAGCTAATGTATGCAGTACCTACGACTGGTTTCATCGCCACCTTTATCGCATCCGGTCCCGGCTGCCAGACTCGCCCTGACCTGTCAGTGAGGCCTCGAACAACCAATGGCAGCCCTCGTGTCATTGCACCAGTTCCTTTACCCCCTGCCAGTTTCCTCCAGCATCAACTCTCTCTCTCTCTCTCTCTTTCTCTCTCTCTCTCTCTCCCTCTCTCTCTCTCTCTCTCTCTCTCTCTCTCTCTCTCTCTCTCCTCTCATTCTTTCCCTTGCCCTATATCTCTCATACCCCTATCTCTTTTCTCGTACCCGCCCACCCTGCCCTCACTCTCTCCCTCCCATCCCTCCTCCTCTCCCCCGCCCCCTTCCGGGCGCCCCGGAGGCGCGGCAGACGGCTCCGTTTATGCGGTTGCGCGCCGCACACCTCATTAGGCCCATTGGGCGCATTATTTCGCCTCTGGCTCCGCCACTCTGCAGCCTGTTGGAGACGGCGGCTCCTCACCAGCGTGCACGACTTGCACTGCACTGAGCCAGCTCTGCTCCAGCTCTGCACAAGGCTCAGCCCTAGCTGAAACTCTACTATAGCTCTCACTCTGTTTCAGCTCCCATTCATACTCCAGTCCTGGTCCTAGTTCTGGCTCAGTCCTAGCTCCAGTCCTAGTCCCACCCCAGCCCCAACCCAAGTCCCAGTCCCAGTTATAGCTCCAGTCCAAGCTCCAGCGCACGCCGCGCTGGCTGGTGGAAAGCCGTTCAGTCGGGCGGTGAGCTGACAGTGGTCCGGGGGCGCGCTGGCGTCACTCGGCTGGCGTTTCCGGGGCCGGTCCGACCGAGTCATCGTCGCCGTCTGCGTCAGTGACGTCAGTGACGTCGGTGACGTCGGCTCGGTGGCGACGGCGGCGCTATCGGCGGCGTCACAGGGCGCCGTGAGCTCGATAAGCGGCTCGACTCCGTCCGTCCGTCCGCCCGGCTGAGCTTGGCGGTACGATAACCGACACCGCCGCGCTGCGCGGCTGGCCGGTCCCGGGCCCGCTGAGGTCACCGCCGGCGGCCGCCGACACCCAGAGCCGGCCCATGACCGAGCGAGAGCGCTACCTGGCCAAAAAGTACATCAGCCTCATCCTGGGACGCACTGAAAAGGTGAGCGGGGTGGTGGAGTGAGGGGTATGGGATGTGGGCGTGCAAGGGAGATGGAAGATACTGCCTCCTCTCTATGTTCATGAACGTATAGGTACATACAAATTCGAGAGTTCGGCGTAAACGGAAAGTGTGCGTGCATTACAAAACCGATCATCACAGTTGTACCAAATTTCAATAGCATAACTAGTTCTGATACGGACTCAGCTGTTTTACGAGGTCTAATGGATCTAAAAAAGAACAGTCGCAAAAAGCTGAAACGGTAAGACCGTAGGTATATGGGCTTAGATTCTCACACTTGCCATGCGATCCTTGCAGGACATTTCTGAGACGTCGACCGTGTTTAACGGCAACCACGAGTCGGAGATGGAGTCCTCTGACATCACAGACGTCTCCTCAATGACATCGTAAGCTGAACTCGGGACACAGACTGATTTTTTCCATTTTGTTTCGAGCTGGAGGAGCGAGGGAGTCTAATACGTATGTCCTCACGACTCAACATACTACGGTAGTATATCCTACCTTACCGATACAACATGGTAAGATTACGCCAGTTCCTCGCAGGCTTAATCACTCCCATCAGTTCTGAGCTCGTCGGCTACACTGCCACAGATTTAGAAGCCCGCGTGTCGGCATATGAAAGATGTCTTAACCTGTCTCACTCTTCCCACTGGTCTTCTTAGCCCGCTCTCCGTTTCTAGAACATAGTTTTGTTCTTAGTTTCGTCCAACCAGAGTCTCTTGAGCCTGTTGCACTGCTGTCAAACAGCTCGTCATCCTGTCCCATCACAGGTCTCTGACCCGCCCCTTCCTCCACAGGTCCCTGAGCCCCTCCTCGGCACTGCTGCCGGACACCCACCCGGGCGTGGTGCGCGGTCCGAACGAGCCGCGCGCCGCCCAGCCACCGTCACCGCCGCTCTTCTGCGCCGAGCTGGAGGAGATCCGCGTCTCTCCGGCCGTCAGTCGCCGCGGGCCCCTGCAGGTCTACGAGGAGCACACGCAGACCTGGCTCAAACGCTGGCTGGTGCGTACACGGAACTCGGCGAGCAAGGACCAGGCTGCTCGAAATGGACTGAGCCCTTACATCCGTGATACACTTGATTGGTGTGAACCTTCTTTACTATTGCGTATGCCCAAGTCTTCCCAAAAGTACAACATTAAATCACCAGCCTCATTCTAGCCCATCGCGGTGCTATTGTTACGACAGCCCTTACGACAGGTGCTGGATTGTGCCGATCTTCGTGCTGGATTTGTTCTGTACCGTCCTATAATCCTCCCGTTACCGGTGACCTCCCTTGCGGCCGGACAGGTGGTGCGTAGGCCGTACGTCTTCGTCTACCGCGACGCCAAGGACTCGGTGGAGAGGAGCCTCATCAACCTGGCCAGGTCGCAGATCGAATACAGCGACGAAGACCCGCACGACACCCCGCACTCCTTCAGGTCCGTGGCGGAACCGTCGGCCATTCCACGGAGGGTTCCTGCTTTGAATATGGATGTTTTTTCATGCATCACATACAACTGACACTAGACGACGATTGTTCAGCCATTTTCATCGACCTTAAATGTCTCCAATGACCACTAGCCCATGCTGTAGAGAGCCTTGGGTGTATCCAACTGACAGAGTACCGTGTGGTTTCCAGAGTGGTGACGCAGCACCGGACGTACCTGCTCCGGTCGGTGGCCAAGGAGCCCGCCAGTGACCTCTACGAGTGGCTCTATGCCATGAACCCCCTGCTGGCTGGACAGATCAGGTATGTATGGATTAAATCGCTGAAACTAAATACCTAGCAACACAGTGAATTTCGAGACCTTGCGCTACAATATCACTTCACTTCAGAAAGGGAAGGTGAAGTGAGGGCTCGTGAGAGTAACTGTGAAGTCATATGTGCCTGCCTAGTAGTGAAAGGCGAGCCTACCCCACGTTCCTTCGATGGAATGGAATTGACACAATGATATGTGCGCTAATCGTCGAACGCTTCTTTGTCGCAGATCGACGCAGAGTCGGCGCCGGCACATCTCTGGAGGCCGCAGTTTGTCCGTTTGCCACTGAGTCGTCTGGCTGACCAGGGACGGACCAGACGGACCGGGACGGACCACCGGTCTGGGGGGTGCCGCCTCAGCCGCGCGACATGACGTCCTCGCGGCTGACAGTGACACACCGCCGGCAGTGAACAGCCTAGCCCCGAACCAGGACGCCTTCCCGTGACCCCGGCAGGTCGAAATGCCAGCGTTCACAGTGGAGGGAGCGCAGCCAAAGCGTGTCCAACCGAGATCCGACCTGCCCACCGCGCGCCTCCTAGTGTTTTGTGCTTTTCTCCGCGCTCGCCGCTCGATAGTAGCTGTTGGATGCCATTAACCCGAGTGAGTGCGTCATGGACGTCCCCAAAGACAGAGTTAAGAGAGGATTAGTATTAGAGTCATTGTCCCTGTCCAATCAGCACAGCTCTGCGGCAACTGTAGATGTGAGATGCCAAGGTTCACCCTTCAGCCCCGGCGAAACCCGGCAGGATGGCGGTCTGCTGGGTGGTCGGTCGCGTGTGTGAGGCTTATCCGCTTTTGACGGTGTTCTCCGATTTTGCCTTACGCTTTGTGTCACGCAGGCTGATTGATGCTGGTCTCGGGCGCGTTGGGGCGGTGTGGCAGACTGGCGTAGTGGGTGAACAATCCTCGCGGTGGATGTTGATACTTGTGCAGCTACTGAGTCGCCACGGCTCGACAGAGGCGACTTCTCAGTGATTCTGGCAATCAGTATACCGCCTTCGCTGTCTCTGTATGTTCGGCGCAGTGAGCCCCTCGGGGCTGTTCCTGGATAGGGTGCATGTACCGCGTGGCGACCACTGCATGTGCACCTCACTGGTGATGCGGTATGCGTGTGCTGATCTCAAGGCGCGACGGGGGGAGAATGTTGGCACGATGCAAGTACCATGGTTGTGATCGCGGGGCGTGATACGACGGCCGTTTTCGGCGCGTCGAGCGGTGATAACGAGACATATGCTTGGGCACAGCACAAATGTAGGTAGCGACACTAACGTCGGGTGCAAGTGGAGGTGAGATTATCCACATCTGTCCCAAAGGGGTGTAACGAATTCTAGTCATTAAGCAGGCGTTCTAGTCATTGAAAATGAACGGTTGTTCATTATTATATTCAAACGAATTATCTTCGAGTCACTTGCTGTGAATAGGCGATCCGAGTCAATTCTTACCTAAATGCGTGAAGCCTGACCCTATGCGGAAGTAATTCACAAAATGACAACATTCCTCAGCAGTCTGATATCTCCCTGGTTCGGAAACGGAAACAGAAGGATCTGCGACCTCTATTGAATCGGTCTACCCACACGACCTCTATCTACCCATACGGCCAACAGTTTGGCTTGGACCTGTGCCACTACTGATGGCGCCAGCCTCGACAGCTCCAGTCCAGGTCAATTGCATGTGCTTCATCTGTTCTGAAAAGCCGAGCATCAAACGAGGTGCCAAATTGGAGCTCCGAGGCGCCGTGGGCGGTTGGCCGCTGGCATACAGTGATCTGAATACAGAGCGGAGTGAGAGAACTTTGTTCGGATGTGTGTAGTGACCAGTGGTGTTGGGGGGACTACACACAGTAGTTACATCTTTCACTGTCCTAGCCGTCATTCCAAGTAACCATTATAACAGCACTGAAAATGATCATTCCAAGGGCATCGATCCAGTGGCGTACTTAAGCATGTCAAAGTTCATGGCCTCGATGAAAAATATATTAATTCGCTTTGAATTTTTGCCTGAAGTCCCGTTTATGTCGCTTAGTGTACGTGAATTGTGTACGTATAACATGACTTTTGACTATGTTCCGAGGTGCTTTGTAAATGATTGTCTTTACTACCTACTCATCGAACGATCTGCCGGCAATAGATACACAAACACAAATGTATTAGTTAAATGTGCCCTATTTTAAAATCATTCGTCATACCTACTAACTATCTGCAATCCGCATTCAAATCTAATCATTTTCATGAACGTTTCAGCGGATCAAGATGTTAGGTTGAGCTGTTCTTACATGCGAATTCCCCCACGCCATGATGCTGTCTCATTCTGCCAGTATTTCTCGATGGCGACTTGAAAAGCGACCTCTGACGACCAGGGCCCTGTTTCAAGGCTTGACGCTACCTAACGTTAGCGGCATCGTGGTATTGGGTTTCCATGGAAACCCATACCACGATACCGGTAGCAACAGTTAGTGTCAAGTCGTGAAGCAGGGCCCAGAACGTTCTCTCTGTCAGTGTTCACATATGCCGTTTGTCGTCGGTGTTCTGTCTTCGGCGGCAAAGAGACCTGAATATTGTCCATGTATCCCGGCCCGTGTGGAATATAAACGGCTTGGCTATGCCGCAAATATATTCGTGGAATTAGCTGAGACGCGTATGTTACGTGATGGTGAAACATGTGACGACTGTCTATGGTCTGCGCCCCACGACTCGATCTAGTATTCATATCAAGTAGTTCTTGGTCAGTGGTATGCAGATCTTACGTCCAGGCCTTTATCACTCGGCGTCATCTGCGGATCACGGTACGACCACTGAACTGGAGCTCCGACCCCACCGCCCCGACCACCCGCCGCTGGGCCCAGCCGAGATGACTGGCGGGAGAGAGCGCGGCCGCCAGAGTGGACGTCCCCTGGGGCCTGCGGGCGCTGCAGACGCTGGCACGAGGCGACCGCCGCCCACAAACTCACCAACCGGGAGGATACGAGATCAGTGGAGGAATGGAAATATGGTGCGTTGTCCATGGTGAACGTGAACTGGCGTAGATACGATATGGGTACCCGTCAAAATTCGTGGAGATTTGGGTCGATATTTGTCCCACAACTGATTTCCTAGAAATCATTACCTTTTCATAAACCATGCACCATAGGCTGTTCACAGTTGAAATTATTCAAAAATGCCATTGCGCATGCGCGTAAAATGGTCCGTGACCCAGAAAAAAAAAATTTCTTCTGGGTAACGCATTATCAAACCAGATACGTTCACTCACCTCATGCGCGATATAACCCCCTTATCGGCAATGACCTTCTCCACACGTAGGTGGAAATACTTGCATGTCTTGATGATGTAGGTGGGCAGAATTTCTCTTCTGGGTCACAATTTTTTTCCTGGGTCACGCTAAAATTCGTGACCCAGAAGAAAAAAATGCGTGACCCAGGGGAATGGGCTTTACAGTTTTCCGAATATGGCAAGTTTGTTATCGAATACTAATCTCCAAGTACATCTTATCTGGAGTACCTGAGCACGCAGCAACACGACACTGTGATTCTTTTCGACACTTACCAGCCACAAACCACAAGGGCGTGTGACCAAGAATAAAGAAATCTTATGGCACGCAGGAGATGATTTCCCCTGGGTTCGCCCAGCCCAACTGACAGTTTTCAGTTTCCGCCCCCGCTCTCTGCGCCTTCGCGGGATAAGACCATATGCAAGTCTGCAGACCCTGCTTACCCGGTCCGTAATGCTTTGAATGAGGAGCTAAGTACCGTGACCCAGAAACAAACGTGACCCAGAAAAAAAGTTTGCCAAAAACCGTGGGACAGACGTTTTTGCGTTGTGCAGTTTTGCTACATTGTATACCCAAAAAATAAGAACCATGAAGAGAAATTTCAATGTTTTTGCTATTCACAACGCTCCCTCGCGCTCAATTATCTCTAAAAATAACTACACAGCAGCTCTGTAGATTTTTTTCGCAGGTTGTGGGACAAGCTAAAATACATAGGCACACGAAAGCACGGTTTTGGAAAGATGTCCAATTTTTTTTGCCACTTTGCTGTTGCCTTTTCAATGATTTTTTTCTTCAATCAAATGTCCAAATCTTGTTACGCTGAAATAAGCTCATTTATTGACGTGAGACATTATTGAAATCGTGGGACAGCATATCTCCACGAATTTTGACGGACACCCATATATGATGAGAAACCAATAAATCAGTTCTCTCTCCAAAGTCCAAAGCGCTTAGTGCTTGAACGTCACTTTGACCAATCGGAAAATGATCACTTGATTCAGTTTGTCATTTTATTTAAGAAAAAGAGGACACTTTGCGAGACATTTAACGGTGGAACGTTATACGAAAGACATTGACCACTAGGCATAGCCACTTGCCAGCGGCAGCCACGCTACTCACTGCCACCATTCAAATCTTCTGCGCGCCTTTTCTTGGGTTGCCTTGCACGTCCCTTCGTTTTCGGTGACGAAAACCTCCCCCCTGCGCGAAGTTGCATGGCTAGGACCGAATCCGGGCACGCTTCCATCATACTTTTCAAAAAGTCGTCCTTTTCTGCCTGGGTCAGGGGTTGCGGCTCCGGAACCTTTGGCACGCAGCAGAGGTCGGATATCGGACATCCCTTGTACCAGTCTTTCACGTTCCCCCAGTCTGGAGAGTCAAATGCCGAGTCGAGCTCCATCAGTGTCGACGGAGGATGCCTGAAACAAATCCAAACAATGCATGTGAAATGGGAGAAATGAAGACACGAAAGAAAGTCACATTTTTGACAGCTACTTAAGGTGAAATATTTAAAATGACGTAATAGAACGGCAGCAATTGACATCAACTTTAGGTATAGCAATTGAAATAAAACATCAATTATTCAAATATGCAACAAACATCCAAAAGTGAAAGAGAACGTCTTCGAAATAGAACGTCAAAGTCTTATGAACGCTAGCTAATGAAGCGAGCGAGTGGATATAATGAGGCATTCATCAGTGTTCACTTTCGCGCTTTAAGTAAGAAGTTTTTCGGTTTTCATTCATTTTCAAGAACAGCTCGCGTAAAAAAGCAAGCATAGCGATGACGCTTTAGGTACCCTTGTTCTTTCAACTTCACACCACTCGATCACCCTAAAAAAATATAATGAAACGAAAGCATGTCAAGCACATTATGGTGCGTTTCTACTTTCCAGACATTTGTGATAAAAAAACGAGTCAACACGTAAAAAAAAAAAACGTTTCTCCCATTGATGGGCGCAAAGATCACGCGAAGATCACGTGATATATTTTTAGCCAGTTTCAAACTTGGCATTAATTTGGGCATATGAGAACTAATTTGCATTACTTATAGCATGTTGCAAAGATGTCCGTGGTAACCAGCGAGCGGAGGAAGCGAGCGAGGTGAGCTCTTCGTAGAATGACAGAAATCTATTAGTGTGGGCGTCCGGACGCCGACCGGCCGATGCAATGGGTAAGTTTTGCAAGGCTTGTATCTCCGCAACCAATGGACCAATTCACTTGCGGTCTTTTTTGTACGAGAGCCTCATCCCTTCTTCCAAGTATTGGACTATTCCCGATGCATGTGGGTGACCCCTAACGCACGTCCCACGTGGAAAACGAAGACGTGTCAGTTTTGTAGCAATTACAATATGTAACTCGGCAATTACTGGGTCCATTGCGCTGAAACTTTTTTGTTTGTTTATTGGGGCTTTAGGGCGCATCAACAGCAAAGGTCATTTTGCGTCCATAACGTTACCCTCACAAAAACAAGTGTGCCAGAAGAGAGAACCGACTAAGCAAAAAGACGAAAAGCCTAAAGGCAGGACAATTTAAGTTACAATAACGAAAGTGTGTAGTGATAGTCAACTGATTAGACGTAACGACTAGAGGACTAGATAGATTGGGGTCCGGTCCGGTCGAGTAAATCACTTGGGATTTAACTGAACGGATAAAGGGAAAAAATGAAGGATAAAACCCATGGTGACTCGTCACCCAGTACTCAGTAGGTACCTATCGGATAGCGGGGTGTGCGTGTCAAACAACGACTCGGACAACAGCGATTCTAGAACAGCGACAGAAAAACAGCGACTCACTCAAAACAGCGACCGCATTTCGAGCCACCGCTAGAACAGCGACCCACACGCTTGAGCGATTATCCAAAACGGCGATCCGTAACAAAACGACTTCAGAGGAACAGCTACTATTCTAGGCTAATGGGGAATGGAAAAGCAAAAAATGGCAAATTCTTGCGAAGAATACTTTTATGAAAAATGCACTCGTTTCGCGGAACAGGATGCATCATATGAAACTCTCGGATATCACGGCGCAATCGGGGAAACTTGGCAAATAATTTGTACTTAAAAATCAACGATGTCAACGAAAAATCACTTACCAATTACCATCATCGAAACGAATGCCGTAAACGGGGGTGACTTTGCCATGTTTTCAACTTGAGACGCTTGCATTCTTTACACTTCTTAACTTCTTGAGATGACTCTATGTTCAAAACACGGATGAAGATTAGCTCTTTTGGTTTTGCTATTATCGTATTTATATCTTGCCTAAAAATATAATTTTTTAAGAAAATGAGTCGTGGCAAAGTTAAACTGAAAAAGGGGTGACTTTGCCACTAATTCAAAAATGGTTTTTAACGCTTGCAAATAATTTTTAAGCATTTTGTTCCATTGTATGGGGGAGGGCAACCATCTTTAATTGTTAATAGGAAAAAATGAAGCAATTCAAAGTTTTTTGCTCTTAAATGATGTACAAAAAAGGAGAGATACATTACTTTAATAATACATTATAGTTGTTGAAAATTATTGACATTGATAGTAAATAGAAACTGAAAAATGATTCAGAATAGATAATAAGCAGAACTATGATTATACCGGTACTCTAGGACCTTGCCGCTTTCTTTCAGCGGTATTCAGAGGAACAGAAAGGAGACGTTCTTGCGGCAACTTACCGGCACCCTTATTATCAGCGTTTCGATCTATAAAATGATACCGATTTCTTCAGCTAGTCTTACTGGCAAACTCAGGAGTTGTAGATGATCATAACTGTGCTGAAAAGTTGGGCCCAGCTTCATCCATTTTTTGAGTTTGGTAATTTTTGCCTTTCTATACTCCCACTGTGCATTCCTGTGCTAATTATAAACGTATAAACTCTCACTTTTTTAAAAACCAGTTTGGAGGTCAAAATGATGCTACATTAAAAATTATTTTGAATTGCATCGGATAAGTATTCAATTTTTGCATAAATAACATGGTGGCAAAGTCACCCCATGTGGCCTGCAATTCACTTGGAAAAATCGCCACCAAAAATTTTAGCTAAATGAAGTGACAAATGCCAGTTTTGTTGGATATGCTAACTTAACAGCCTTGTCATAATTAACCATACCAAGCTTCAGCATCGCAGGTGGTCTAAGACATGTTTAGATAATAAAAGTTTGGAACTCTTCAAATTTGACCATTTCAATGACTCCAATAAAATGGAGCCCAGTTAGGTATTTAGTGGTAACTTACCTATCAGTGTTAGTTATATTGGGAGGCCCATCAATTACCTTTCATTTGTGCAAAACATTACTACATTCCTCGTTAAATATCATGGGAGATCTCCCTAAAGCATTTTTCGAGAAGCATGGCAAAGTCACCCGGCGAGG